CATCTATCTTGACCTCCAAGAGTGCCCGAGTGCCCAAAAGAGGGCTGCCACCAGCCTCCCCAAAGCTCTCTTCATTTTGAATTTGGATGGGTATTTATAGGATTTTAGAAACCCTAATTGAAATAGAAGTAGGACTTGGAATAGAAATAGGAAACTGAATTTTAGATACTGATCGCGTGGTGCTAACACTTCGGATTACGTGTTGACACAAAATAGGAAACAGAATCTGATTCTGGACGTTTAGCGCATGGTGTCGATACCCCGATCATGTGTCGACACTACACCCGTGTCGGGTTTCTGGTCTCCTTTTGCAATTTCTTCAATGGTAAAATAGCAGATTTGGTTCCTGACTTCTGGATTCTGCACAAGTTGATCCTCAAGTCTTTGATCTCTTCAATTTACTTCTAAAAAGTAGGATTTCTTCCAATTAAATTCTTTCCTACACAAAGGATGAAAACCATGTAAAATCAAATAAAATCTCATAAAACTCATCCAAATATCAATAATATCAAAGTAAAAATTCCATATTAATATGTATATAAATTTAGCTCATCAGTGTCCCCTTAAGGCAATTCACTAAAAGGCATTGTAAATAAGTTGTATTGAGAAAATGATCACTCGTCATTCAATTGTCTTTCCAAACTATGAAAGATGTGGAGTACTTCTCCTTAGAATCCCATGAAGGCGAGGAAATTAGCCTCAAACCCAATTAGATGCCTACGCCAAAGCTAAGGTGGGCTAACTATTCTTCCTCATCATATGATTCCCTTCTATATGCCTTTGTCATTGAAGTGACATCTAGTGACCCAGATGCTTTCCTCCAAGTTATGGAAAGCTTATGGAAAACCGTGGTTGAAAATGATGCCCAAATCAAGGAACTCCAAGAACTCTTGACAGCTCAATACCTATCAAACCAAAATAATCCAATAGCATCAAGCTTAGTTGTTGAGAAGACCTTAAGAATAAGGAAGACCTATAGAAAACTCTAGATCAAGGTCAACAAGTTACCCTAAAGGAAAGCTTATAGCAATAAAAACAAGAGAAATTAGATCAACCAATTCTTCAAAGTTCCTTTTGAGACTACACTCATGCTATGTGGCATCCCTTATGTCTCCATAGTTTAAATTTTTAGTTAATGATGTGATTCGAGCTTGGTAGGGTAAGATGTCAGAATCCTCACTTGTGAATGCCTAGCCTTATACTCATAAGATTGAAAATCCAAGTCTACCTAAGGGGTACCTATGGGGATCTCACAAGATTGATAATCTAAGCCTACCTAACAACTACGTATGGCAAAACAATTTGTCTGGTCCTTGGAGGATACAACTTTCGAATGGTACACCAACCTTCCTACTTGGTTAGTGGATAGTTGGAGTCAACTAGAGCAAGAATTCTTGACACATTTTTATAGAACCAAGCATCTAGTTAGTTTACTTGAACTTGCCAATACCAAGTAAAAAATGGATGAGTCTGTCATAGACTTCATTGAGCAATGGAGAAGTCTTGTCCTTAACTACAAGGAGAAAATTAGTGAAAGTTCCTTCATCAACATGTGTGTCAAAGCCATGTGTTGGGGCTTGCTATACAATTTTCAAGCCAAAATGCCACATGACTTTGAGGAGTTACCTACAAGATTCCATAACTTAGAAATCCAAATTGTCAAACATGGAAATTTTCTACCAAGTAATGCAAGCAAAAAGGAGTTAGAGTACTTAAAAGTAGAATCCATGGCCGTCACAATTACTTTAGGAAGGACCTCACTTACCACATGTCTAATTGAACTCAAAAGTTAAGTGTTAGGACCTTGCAAGATCAAGTCCAAAAGAGAAAAGCTACACTTAAGGAACTTCAACAAAAAAAGTACCTGTTTGTGGGCTCTAAACTATCTAGCATCCTAGACCGATTGTTAAAACAAATCTTGATCAAACTTCTACCTCCAAAACATTTAGAAGAAGCTGGACACGTAGATAACCCTAACTACTGTAGGTACCATCAAATCAAAAGCCATCTAGTGCAAAAGTGCTTTATTCTAAAGGACCTTATTGTTGAATTCGTGAAGCAAAGACATAGTTGCATAGTGAAGAGGGAATTATTGAAAGCAATGTTGCAATGGTGTCTTTTGGATCTTTTGATCTAGTTTCAATGCTTCCTTCCTATGAAATCCAACCAAGTTCAACCCCAAAAACTTTTGAAGAATGGAGACAAGCTACAGTAGATGAGTTCATGATAAAAGCAAGCATGGGACATGAAGTGTTTGCTTTTTGGATGCACTATTCTCCTATAATCAAATCAAAATGGAAACTAAAAGGGATGAAGTTGTAGCATTTCAAGCTCCACAAAACTTTGATTACAAAGTTTTTCCATATGGGTGGAAAGATGTCAGAGTTGTTTATCAACACATAATGCAAAAGTCTGTGTTGACTCACTGCAAAATAAAGGTTCTTTAACAAAATTCATCAAAGTAAACTCCTAGTCACAAGAGTATAAATTGTAAGATTGCCAAAAATAAATAAATAAATAAATGAAATACTCTTGGCCTAGAAGAGTATAAATTGTGAATGGAAAAAAAAAATTGAACTACGTTTAAATTGATGCTTTTAAAGGGAGTATGTAGGCAACTTGGGAAATTCTTTGATTTTTTTTTTTTTTTGGTACAAACCCCCCAATATTTACTAGTCACATTGGGTCTCAATTAATGTGGATTTAAGCCGTGTCGGACCCCATAAGGGGGAAAGCTCTCCCAACTCCTCTTTCTCCATTGACAAGACTCGAACTTAAGACCTTACTTAAGAGAAACAAATCTTCTTCCACTCAAACCAATAGGTTGTTGGTGCAACTTAGGAAATTCTAAGGATAGTCAAATCTTTATATATATAATTGTGCTCTTAGTCAAATCTTTATAAAAAAAAAATGTGTTCTTGAAAGTCCTTTTTTTTACAATTTTGTATTCAAAAATTAAAAAAATAGTTCTAATTTTAAACAAGTCAAGCAAGGAAGAGAGTCGAAAAGGGTTCTTCATTTAATACTGAATTGTTGAAGCCAAAATTTCACAATCCTCAAAGTAACTTCAATTGCTGCAACTTCAAGTCTCATCTGTTGCACTACTAGAAAACAAAGTATAATCGATGGCAAATACTATCGATTAAAGAAGGATTTCTATCAATTAAAGAAGGATTTCTAGTGATTACGTTATAATCGACAGACATAATGGACAACCAAAGTTGTTTCATAAATAGTGGTTGAAAATTACTATAATTGACAGAAAAAATTTCTATCAAATATGCAACTATAATCAATAGCCAATGTTTGTCGATTATACTTGGCAAAACATAAAAAAAATTTTATCAACAACCATTGGCTGTTGATTATAGTTGCATGTTCAATAGCTAATGACTGTTAGTTATACTTGGGTAACTATAAAAAAAATACAAAAATTCAATAAAATAGAGAATTATATTTATATTTTTTTCTATTAATTAAATTATATATAAAAAAAGAATCTAACAAAATTCACTACAACTATCAAGTACCACAACAATACATTATGACATAATGTTAAGAATAACATAAGAAATAATAGATAAACATAAATAAAATTAAAATGAGAATTCTAAACTTATTTTGAGATCAATATTCT